GTGACGTCACGTGATGATCGGCCACGTAGAAGTACGCGGTACGAAAATACCGGAACAATAGGCAAGAAATATAAATTCATTTTCTCTTATTAATCGCCAGTCGAGGTTGCTTATCACTACATGCCGAGAGATCACAACCGAGCTGTTTCGCGACGAATTTTCTTCTTATGCGATAAAATTAAGTTTTTTTAATAAATGGAGATGACCTAAAGACTCTGCTCTCGCATAGTGAGCATTGAACATCGGATACTTTTGAACGCACTATTCGCACACGGTGAACACTTCCGTCGAACCCTTGTAAACGCCGTTTGCATTCGAAGAGTTAATGAGGTAAAAATTGCTTTGAGCCAACCGGGTGATCGAGGCGGAATTTAACGGACTGTAATAATGAAGAGACGAGGAACATTGTACGGTTTAATGCGATTTTATGTATGAGCCGCCGGCGTAGCGCGATCGTTACGTGGTTAGGCTTCAGGCATTTTGCGGCGAGTTCGCTCGCCCCAAAGAACGAACGGGTCAGACTGACGTGTTTGCATAAATTCTTCTATCTAGGAAACTGCCGTTTTTCTTCTGTTCCACCTTCATGTTTTTGTCGTCCGTCGAACTCAGATATGCTAATAGCTCGCTACCTGCTTTCAGCGCCGTGGAAATAAATCTCGTTCGCGACGTGCGCTCAGCCGCGAATTTGAGGCGCCGTGAATTAAAACGCGGAAACACCGACACGCTCATTTATGAAATAACGGCATGTGAAAGAATCTAAAATAATCGCTAAATTATTCCCCCCCCCCCCTCTCCCTCTTCCCTTCCTTCTCTATCTATTATCGCGCGAGTGCGGATTTACGAGACATGGAGAGTTTTCCTATGAAAAAAGAAATGTTCACAAGTTCCTGCACGTTTTATATCAACAGAATGTTTATAGAATAAATTATTTGTTATTTGTTACCACGTGCGATCGAGACAACATCCGGTGAAATAGTTGTAGGGTACGACAAACGAGAGAAAGAAATTCCTACCGAATAATCTACACGTTAGCCGATATTACATACGTAAAATATTCGTGTTTTAATGATAGATATTACTGCACCTTTGCAATACGATATTTTACGTCTGGAACAATCGCAGCGCGCTATATTGCGACTTGTACAGTTGAAAAAATAAATATTCCTATATTCGAGTATATCCGCGTGTTATGCATTCGCACGGCCGTTGTTCGTTCGTTCGTTCGTATTTCGCGGCGGTCGCTCGCTCGCAGTAACGCTCGGCACATACTCGTGATTAAATAAAAGAATATCGATTCGAAGAGGACCGCCGAACGTTTAATAAGGGAACGCTCTGCGCGAACGGGATTAATTAGCGGGAACAATTGCACAAGCTTTCAAATTCATCTCGCGGCCGATCGCGACGTGTCCGTTTCGTTCACGCAGAACTGCGCGCTCGAGTTTTTTCTTCTCTCGTTAAATCGCGAGCCTGGAGATCGCGTCTCTCCTTTTCTCGGATATTCGATTCAACACGAAGAACGCGAAAAGAAGGATATTTGGTTTCTCTCTCTCTGTCAGTATGGATTAATCAAAAGATATTTGTCAATTAATTCTCGCAGCGTCGGGAAAACCTATCACGCAAATGATGTAAAGTGATTTTCCACACCGAGGAAAGAAAATGGGTAGAATCAACGAAGTTTCATTTGCGCGAGCGACATTTTTCCGAGCACGTTTAACACTAAACCTACCATGCGCGGTCAAATGACCGTTTTTGAAATTTCGTTTAGGATTTCTCGTATACAACATTACTTTATTACCATGTAGCTTATTGACATTTCCTATAATATACATACAACCCATTTTTCAATATTCACAACTTTCTTTATTGTTTACTTTCCGAAAAAAATTTATAGCATGTCTAGTCTACCACGAATGGTCATTTGACCATTTGAAAAATTCATATTATTTACGACTATATTCTTTGGAAAGCGCGATTGGAACAAATTCATAGCGCGATTGGAACAAATGCATAGCGTTATTTGTACGACAGTACGGTCTTGCGATCCGAACAGAGAGCATCAAAATTTCACAGTGTATAATAGAAATTATTACGTGGTATAAGTGATAGTTTCGACAAAGTCAACAGAGCCAACAATATTTTGTGGTATGATTTACAATTGTTTTTTTTTTATTTCTGGTCTCAATGTTTTTGCCCCGTTTGATTTATATTTTTATATTTTAGTTTTTACTTTATCATTTGTATATTCATCCCCAAAAATGTCAAGACATTCGAGGAATATCAATTTATTAGACAAAATAAATAATATCGACGAGGATTGTTCGGAAGATGACCAAGAAGTTTCCGATATTGATAATGATACAGCAGAAAATAATTGTGACTTATTTGACAGCGATACAGACGAAGAGAATATTTTGAATATACGAAGAAGACAAAAAAGAAAGAGATTTATAGTTAGTTCCGAAAGTAAAAATGAGGAAGAGATTGAAACTGCTATGGACGGAACTGTTTGGCAAAAAATAAAAGAAGGGTCTAATCGCGGAAGAGCACCGATTTATTATATTTTCAAGGAAATATCAGGACCGACAGGATACGCTAAACGAAATATTATAAAGGGCAGAGTTGAGTCAGCATTTTCCTTGATTATTGATCATAACATGATTGAACATGTAAGAAAATATATGGAATTAGAGGCATTTCGAGTGTTGAAAACGAAATGGAATTTATCTATTGCAAAATTATATGCATTTATTGGACTTCTATATGCACGCGGCGCATATGAGGCTAAAAATATGGATGTATCATATTTATGGAACACGAAATGGGGTCCGTCATTTTTCTCGACAACTATGAGCCGAAATGACTTCACAGAAATCATGAGATTTATTCGGTTTGACAACAAAAATCAACGAAGCCAACGCTTACAAAACGATAAGTTCGCTTTGATCTCTGAAGTTTGGTACAAATTTATCGAAAACAGTCAAAACTGTTATAAACCAGGAGCATATCTTGCTATAGATGAACAATTGTTTCCTACAAAAGCACGTTGTAGATTTACTCAATACATGCCCAACAAACCGGACAAATTTGGCATAAAATTCTGGTTAGCTTCCGATGTAAGTAGTAAGTATATATAGTAAACGGCTTTCCATATTTGGGAAAAGATGAAGGGAGAGAATCATCGGTCCCATTTGGGGAGTTTGTAACTTTGAAATTAGGCAGTATATGGCAGAACCATATACGGGCCATGGGAGAAATATAACAGCTGACAATTTTTTTACAAGCGCGTCATTAGCGAATAAACTTCTAGAAAAAAAAACTACGCTTGTTGGAACTATCCGCAGAAATAAAAGAGAGCTACCAAAATTAGCGAGATAGGCAAAGGATAGTATGACACGCTTCTCAACAATATTATACAAATCGAATGATTTTATTCTTTCAATTTATAAAGCTAAACCCAATAAAAAAGTATTGATACTTAGTTCAATGCATTCATCCGTTGAAATTGAAAAAAGTGACACCCGTATACCAGAGACAATTAGATTTTACAATAGCACAAAATTCGGTGTAGATGTAACCGATCAAATGGCCAGAAAATATAGTATAAAATCTAAATGTCAAAGATGGCCTTTATAGGTATTTTTCAATATCTTAGATTTAGCCGGGATAAATGCTTGGATTTTATATAAAGAAACGACGGGTGAAGAAATATCGAGGCAAGAATTTTTATTTCAATTGGCAGAAGAGCTTGAGACCGAATATCAGAAGGAGAGACAGCTAAGCAAAGAATGTTCATCAAAAACAATAATAAACACAGCTACAGATTCTTCTGGACGGAAATCTTGTCAAATAAGATATTGTAAAGTCAATAAGACTAACAAAATTTGTATAAAATATAAAAAATACGTATGTGGAAAATGTGCAATACAAAATGCTGTAATTTGTAAAAAATGTGCTGAAAATGCATAAAGGTAAATCAAACTTTCTAAATAGAAAAGCGGGGAGCGGGTTTTTATTGTAGCACCAGAAAAATATTTTGTTTACTATCCAATTGGCTAAAATCTCTTTCTATATTAAGATACATATGTTTTTTTGAAGCGGTCATTTGACCGCTCATGGTAGGATTAGGTATACATGAAATGTCGGTAGGTTTAGTGTTAAACCACCGAACGAATTGTACAGCTGCCTCGACATGATTTTTATTCGACGGACCGGCTACCTTAATTGGTTATATTTACACATCGTCGTTTCAACTATAACTGGTACAAGTGCGGCAACAGTCAATTCCGCGATTTCCGCACGAGTTACCAAGATCACGAATTCGTGTTTTCTTCTTTGTGGTGTTACCATAAGCTGATTTGCAACTTCGCGCGCCGGGAGGGAAGGGTCCGCCGAGTTGAGATCCGCGGCTATGCGGAGCCCGATTCTGGTCTACCAACTCCTGAGTCTCGCAGGCGGTATAATAACGCCGTGGCGATAAGACTAATGTAAGTTGGGTCACGTACCATTATGGCGCATTCAGATATCTCGATGAGTACCTCTCTGTATTCGTATCCGTCGACGTACGAATACATTATGCGCATTCATATCTCCGTATACACGTATATATGTGCGAACCGGCTCGTTGTGTAACTATCTGCTTCGAACTAACCGAGCGATTTCAGCGCGAGATGTAGCAAGACGATATAATATTTATTTATACCGAAGAGTCGTGAATTTACCGTTTCTGTCATTCACCTTACTTGTAATCGCTCCAGCGTTTCGTCGATCCTGTCTGCTAATCGAAAATGCCTTCTCACGCGTACACGAAGATGCGAGGATATCGCGCATCTTACGCACGATCGCGCGCATAACCTCTCTTTGTCGCGAACGAGGGGCGTCGCACAAGGAGTTTCTCGATTTATACGTCGCGACGTTCGGCTACGGTTGCTCCTCTGATCGGGGATAAAACGAGCAGGTAATAACAGTTAACGGAAACAGTAGTTAACGATAATCAAGCTTACTTTTTATCTCGTGTCTCCACGTTCACTCGTTCGGGCCTTCGAACTTGCGATGCGCTCGCCGCTGAGTGGCGCCCTCTGTGGCGTTTCGCGCGCGGCTGTACGGAGCAGCGAGCGAGTAGCTGTCTAGTGGCCGTGTTTACAAATATGGCGGGTAGTGGGGGCAAGGCCGCGAACATGGAAGGGGGAAAACATATCGTAGACGGAGTTCCACGAAACGCGTCCGGGAATTCGGCTACGGAATGCGGCGTGGCACCTGCCTACGCGCAACTGGGACAGGTGCATGATGCAAGGTGCAGGGAACGTCAGGGTTTCGCGGCCAGCGATACAATCGTCGATATTTTCACTTCTAGTGGTCATAACGACTCGAAACAAAAACTGTTGGAAAGGTAAGACTCCCGCGCATCTGATAAACCCGAAATCGTTATTCTTGGGCGTAAAAGAACCGATGTAACTCCATGTAAGTCGTTGGCACTTTGAGCTTTTTGAGATGTGAGCTTCTGAAAAAGCGAAGCTGATGAAATCTGCTTCTGTTAACCACTTCAGGGGTGAATTTATTAATATCCGAGGCAAACGATTCGAATTTTAAATGACGCTTGCGAAATGTGTGACGAGATTTCTCGTGCGATTTTACGACGAATATTTGTCCGCGGTAATGTTCGTCGTGTTTTCATCGACAACGGCCGCATGCAGCAGTACGTTTATTTCACAACTGTCGGAAGTTTTTTGCGCTGAGATTGAATTATTCCTCTAGATCTGAAAGAACAATCCAATCTCAGCTCAGAAAACTTCCAACGGTTGCAAAATAAACGTTCTGTTGAACGTGGACGGTGTTTGAGTTGAAAAAAGAAAATATTGAACGCGTACTCAGAAATACGCATATGTGCCAATATTCCTGAAGAAGTTAAACTGTTATAGGGACATATTGTGAGCAAATAAGGGCATGTCAACAAACAATCGCCATTGCTCTTCAAACGAACAGCAATGTCGATCCAGACAGACAGATAGAGCGTCGACCGTCGGATCGATGATCTTCAAAACTGACGGAAATGGCGCCTTTCTTTCCCCCTCTCTACCTCTCGGTCACTCTCTTTCGGAGGCGAGTTGAATGATCGAATTTATTTCTTCGACGCGAAGGGAACATCAGTTTAATTGCTCGCGAGCATCACTTGTTGCAGCGTTATTTCCTCGGCTGAATTAATTGCTAATTAAATTGCACACAACGCGTCGATTCTATTTATAGAGCTCTCTTCACGAGAGCTGCATGCGCACGTGCGCGCATGCGCGCGCGGCCCGGCGGAGCTCGTTGCGGCTCATTATTTCGTTTAACCGATTTTCAATTTCCGCGCGGAAACGCCACGTCGCGCGGGATCGTCATTTTTCAAATACGTCCGGACAATGAAAATTGCCCAATTTATCAGGATTTAACGCGATTCAATTGTTAATGTATCGTATATATCGGGAGCATTCGCGATTGGGCGCGAATAAAATCGCGCGGCGGTGCCGTTTGTCGGGAATCATTTTCAATGTTGATCCATTATCATCCCCGTCAGCCGAGATACCGCGATATATTATCCGTGCTGATTGCCACGAAGAAGCATTTTTCCACCTAATCGCACCTTCGCGCTTGATATCGCAAACAATCATGCTCGCTTTCACGCTTCGGTTGGTATCGTCGCGCCGACAGCTGTGCTTTCGCATGTTGACGCGAAATGAAAATTATGTATCATTGAATATAATATAATATTATATGATATTAAATGTTATATCGCTACAATATATTACATCTCGCGCTGGAATAGCGTGGTCAGTTTGAAGCGCGTAATTACCCGACCATTGGAGCGGATGCACGTTCACCATTTAGAGGAACGGGACCCCTCCTTTCGCGGTGTTAACGCAAAAACTTCGAGGAAAAGAGCCGCGGGCCGCGAACTGCAAGATCCGAATCGCGTGTGACCATTAATATCCGCGCACGAGTCATTAACGCGGCTGCCGGCGGCATGAATTATAGTTAAAAATGCAAGGCCGCCCGACCGCCGACCGCAAGTTGATTCCGCAAGTTGACTCCAGCGGAAACAATATGCACGCCCTACAGGGCAGTATATTACGACTGTATTGATTGCGAGAGCTGCCGAAAGCCCAGCGGCCAGCTGTATTATAAACGATATAATTTCCGAGCGACAGATTAGAGTTATCATGTAGCACTGATACGGCTGAAATTATTACGTATGTATGGATTTGCCCTGAAGATAAATTGTCGCCACTTCTGTATGCGGTCAGTCATGGAAAGGTTGCAACATCTTTCTTTTCTAAAGTTTCGAAACGCATTCTGTGTCGAACAGGAAAATTTGTTTTTTTTTTCAGTAATTTTCAGGAGATGTACACAGAAAAAAAAATGCTGAAATCAGATAAACATAATTATCTGTTTCCCAGTCTCTTATATCAAGTAATAATTTTATCAATTTAAGTATATTTTAATAGATTTAATATTATGAATTTAATACTTGTCATAATTGTTTTAGCACACAAGTACATATTTTACTTGTACGAAGAAAATATCATATAGTACGTAGTCAACTATATTTCCGCTTCTAGTAAATATTTGCCAAGGAGAATATTAGAGTTAATCATTTTAATTAGATCAAATAAATATTATTTGAACGGTAGCATCTTTCTTTCAGTGCACTTTTTTCTATTGGAAACGAGATGCGTTGCGAAACTCATCAATAAAAGTATTGTAATCTTTCTATGATTGATCACGTACACGATAAATGAGAATCGAGCTCTGTGCGTGAGATACATATCTCGCCCTTTCACCCCCCCTCCTCGCCAAGTGTATTTTCTTTCATCAATTGTGTTCTCCGATAAATTCCCAGTCTTCTCCCGCGCGAAACACGTCCCGTCGCCGCGTCTTCGCGACACGTCTTTTGACGTTCAGCTTTAATATCTTTCCGACTGACCTTTCATTATAAATTGTCCGAAGTTCCCTCGATATTAAATAAGGGTCAAAGTTTCGTTATCCGTGCCGATGTATCCTGCCGGAGTTTAATCCGCGAGATTCCATGAATTTTCAGCTGTTTATAACTCAAAAACTATCGGTGTCTCTCTCGGCATTCTTGTTAAGGAAAAACTTTAAATTGATCAAACATTCCGCGAGGTGGTGGAGGATAGATGAGGGCAAGAAAAAGAGAATCGATAAAGGAAAGCTCGGGCAACTTGGCACACCGCGTAGATCCGCTTGATCTATTCCTCGTAGCGTTCAAGCTGCGAGGATAATTCGTTACTTCGGAACGAGAGAAGGGATAACGTGATGTGAATTGAAAGTAGTAATATGAATTATGAATACGATAAGAATTATCGAATATATGTCAATTAATATCGATGAATTAATAAGAGCGTCAAAGATACGTCGATCGTCGAGACGAAGGAGAGAAGGAGAAACGAGGACGGTCGGAGGAGATTTACTCGCGCGTTCTCGTTGTGTATTCTCGACATAAGTCCATTATTACGAAGAAAAAGCCGCGATGATGGCGCGAAGTAAATCTTAGGGGTGTTTACTGAATTCAGGATGCCGAAAGCGAATGCGAAAGCGACGAATATCGTGCCTCGATGTGAGCCGGAGATATTTGACGGTGGAAATGGATCGCGGGAATGTTCATAAGAAATAAGAGAGAGAGAGAGAGAGAGAGAGAGAGAAAATGCTAAACTTCCAATATATTTTCATCGTAGCGTTATTACCGATTTCGTTGAACCGCTCGAAAAGTTTTCTCATAGCCACTTAAATCTTTCTCCGGGCGCGGCTTGATTCGCCGCTACTCGTGCAGCGTCGTGCGGGATACTTTCGCGGAGCGTATTTAAAAGTTCGCGAATAAAACGCTCCGCCAAACGGCGGTGTCTTCTCCGATTCGCGAAGGCGAATTCTCCTCTCGTTGTTGCTGCATCCGACACTCATTCGCGAATTCCTGAATCTCGAGATCTCACCGTGGTTAGCGCTCTTAAACTATTCGCTGCACGCGCGCGATAAACGCGCACGAGAATGCGCAGCCGCGCGAAGTTTATTCATAAGAGGCAGTCCGCGATACCATTGGCAGTAGTTCGCTTCAAAAATCGATTGAATATCGACGTATCACATTTGGGTAATATATTACGATACACTTAACCGCATAAATTTGCTATGCATTGCCCGCCGCATAAAATACATCTCGATCGCCGGCATCTTTCAACGTCGCTACGACGCCTGCACACAATAGCCCCCGGAAGATAACTTTTGCGTTTTGCATAATCGTAGTGGCTCTTTTGTGCGTCTGCGTTCCTTTCGCAAATTTTTTCACAAATTCTGTGATGGTCCCCTCTTTCAAAGTAAATAGATAAAAAATAAGACTTCCTGATGTATTTATCTCATTTTCATATGTTTTCTTCAGATAGATTCTTTTGCTTATGCCAGGCTATTGCGACTCCTTTTTCTGTTTCCACAGGTTACGTTATTTCCGCTTTTGAGTCTTTATCTATAATTCTAAAACTCCCTGTACACTAAGCGATAATTATAAAAGTAAATTAGTGGTTGTGAATAAGTATATGCTATGTTTTAATTGAAAACTGAATTATTATATAATAACCGTAATTAAATGCGTGAAGTTGATGCACGTGAATAACAATATCATGAGTGCAGACGTTTATGTTAACCTGTTTGTAATATAGCGGATTTTGATTAATTGAGTCATCAGATTGTTTGAGCCTCATTTCAAATCAATTCTGACGAACGAATAATTTTATTCATTCTACGAATTTTGTTTTACTTAGAAAATTTCTTAATCGATCAAAATAATGTAGCCCAATATGTAACGGAATTTAGAAATAACATTCTCGAGTGAGTGATTTTTTTGAAGGAGAAGGATCGAGCGTTCATTCGCCGTTTAAATTTTTGCTACGATTTCACATATGCACATCGGTATTATTTTCAGCTTTTGATAACTAGAGACGCCTGACGAATGGAGAGATCGAACATAAGAGACGGTAACTTTCAATCATTGATAATAATGGCTGCTTTCCATTTATATGACT